AGCAGGAGGCGGGTGCTGTTGGGGGGGAGGGGACCAGGAGTGGCTTCATGAGCCGCACGTTTGGGGGGAAAGAACCACAGGCGGCTTGCAAGCTGCGGGTTGGGCACGGCTGGTATAAAGATATGCCATTAATGTATTTTTTCCTTTTTACTATACCAAGGATCAAAACTGGAAAAGTTATTAAAAATCTTAATGACGTTACTGACCAACATAGAACTCTGGAATGTTGAGAACTTTTCGCCTCCGTATCATGTCAATTCTTTCAATATAGTATTTTAAAGGATCTTTTCTCCCTCTGGGTGGAATAGGCTGGTATAAAGATATGCCATTAATGTATTTTTTCCTTTTTACTATACCAAGGATCAAAACTGGAAAAGTTATTAAAAATCTTAATGACGTTACTGACCAACATAGAACTCTGGAATGTTGAGAACTTTTCGCCTCCGTATCATGTCAATTCTTTCAATATAGTATTTTAAAGGATCTTTTCTCCCTCTGGGTGGAATAAATTCAGGACTCAGGAACCTGTGAAGAAGTCAAAACCTTTCTGAATACAAGACAGAAATAACCTATAATTCACCGTAGTACTAAAGTAATTAATAGTACTAATAGTGAGTACTTAACACTGCATGGCTCATGGCTGAATAGTACTGTACATGAAACCAGTTGTAAGATGTCTTTTGCTTCTTGCAGATGGGAGCCCACAAGACGCACCACAGATGAGATTTTCACCCTCACTCATTTACATGGGCTAATTGGACCAGAAATGCATAGAGGGACTATAAAATTCCTGGGTCTGACTGGAATTGCCTGACAGAGAAAATTAAGACGACAGATGGAAGTGGTCCTCTGAGGACTGCTTCAGAAACCCTGTTGTGTGCTGTGCCTAGCAATGCCCCAACAACAGCAGAGATTCTGGCCAGAGCTCCTGTCCATCTGGTAGCTCAGTGAGGTACCATAACTTGGCCAGACAGGGCTGCTGTCAACCACGGAGGGCTGAAAAGGTGGTTTACCCTTAGGGAAGGCACCAAATCTCTTTTGGCTACGTGTTCTTTTAAACAATTAACAAAACTATCCAAAGCCCAAGATTTGGTGGTGATGGGGGACTTCAACTATCCAGACATATGTTGGGAAACTAACACAGCGAGGCACAGGCTATCCAATAAGTTTCTGGACTGCATTGGAGACAACTTTCTGTTTCAGAAGGTTGAAAAAGCTACCAGAGGAGAAGCTGTTCTGGATTTGGTTTTAACAAATAGGGAGGAACTAGTTGAGAACTTGAAAGTGGAAGACAGTATGGGGACAGTGATCATGAAATAATAGAGTTCATGATCTTAAGGAAAGGTAGAAGGGAGACCAGCACAACTGAGGTAATGGATTTCAGGAAGGCAGATTTTGATAAGCTCAGAGAACTTGTAGGTAAGGTCCCATGGGAAGCAAGACTGAAGGGAAAAACAACTGAGGAGAGTTGGAAGTATTTCAAAGGGACGTTGTTAAGGGCCCAAAAGCAAACAATTCCGCTGTGTAGGAAAGATAGAAAATATGGCAAAAGACCAGCTTGGCTTAACAAGGAGATCTTGCATGATCTCAAAATAAAAAAGGAGTCATATAAAAAATGGAAACTAGGACAAACAACAAAGGATGAATATAGGCAAGCAACACGGGAATGCAGGGGCAAGATTAGAAAGGCAAAGGCACAAAATGAGATCAAACTAGCAACAGGCATAAAGGGAAACAAGAAGACCTTTTATAAATACATTAAAAGCAAGAGGAAGACCAAGGACAGGGTAGGCCCACTGCTTAGTGAGGAGGGAGAAGCAGTAACAGGAAACTTGGAAATGGCAGAGATGCTCAATGACTTCTTTGTTTCGGTCTTCACCGAGAAGTCTGGAGGTGAGCCTAACGTAGTGAATACAAGCAGAGAGAGGGTAAGTTTAGAAGATAGGATACACAAAGAACAAGTTAAAAATCACTTAGGAAAGTTAGATGTCAGCAAGTCACCAGGTCCTGATGAAATGCATCCCAGGATACTCAAGGAGCTGATAGAGGAGGTATCTGAGCCTTTAGCTATGATTTTTGAAAAATCATGGCAGACAGGGGAGATTCCAGAAGACTGGAAAAGGGCAAATATTGTGCCCATCTATAAAAAGGGGAATAAGAACAACCCAGGAAACTACAGACCGGTCAGTTTAACGTCTGTCCTAGGGAAGATAATGGAGCAGGTAATTAAGGAAATCATATGCAAACACTTGGAAGGTAATAAAGTGATAGGGAATAGCCAGCATGGGTTTGTGAAGAACAAGTCATGCCAAACTAATCTGATAGCTTTCTTTGATAGGATAACGAGCCTTGTGGATAAGGGAGAAGCGGTGGATGTCATATACCTAGACTTTAGTAAGGCATTTGATACGGTCTCGCATGATATTCTTATTGATAAACTAGGCAAATATAACTTAGATAGGGCCACGATAAGGTGGGTGCATAATTGGCTGGATAACCGTAGTCAGAGAGTTGTTGTTAACGGTGCTAAATCCTGCTGGAAAGGGATAACAAGTGGAGTTCCGCAAGGGTCTGTTTTGGACCCGTACTGTTCAATATCTTCATCAATGATGTAGATATTGGGATAGAGAGTACGCTTATTAAGTTTGCAGATGATACCAAACTGGGTGGGGTTGCAACTTCTTTGGAGGATAGGGACATAATTCAAAATGACCGTAGCAAGTTAGAGAAATGGTCAGAGGTAAACAGGATGAGGTTTAATAAAAAGAAATGCAAAGTGCTCCACTTAGGAAGGAACAATCAGTTCCATACATACAAGATGGGAAGCAACTGTCTAGGAAGGAGCATGGCGGAAAGTGATCTAGGGGTCATAGTGGACCACAAGTTGAATATGAGTCAACAGTGTGATGCTGTTGCAAAAAAAGCAAATATGATTCTAGGTTTTATCAACAGGTGTGTTGTAAGCAAAACTCGTGAAGTCATTCTGCCGCTCTACTCTGCGCTAGTTAGGCCTCAGCTGGAGTACTGTGTCCAGTTCTGGGCGCCACATTTCAAGAAAGATGTGGAGAAATTGGAAAGGGTACAGAGAAGAGCGACAAGAATGATTAAAGGTTTAGAGAACATGACTTATGAAGCCAGGCTTCATGAACTGGGCTTGTTTAGTTTGGAAAAAAGAAGATTAAGGGGGGACATGATAGCGGTTTTCAAATATCTAAAAGGGTGTCACAAGGAGGAAGGAGAAAATTTGTTCCTCTTGGTTTCTGAGGACAGGACAAGGAGTAATGGTCTTAAAGTGCAGCAGGGGAGGTTTAGATTGGACATTAGGAAAAAATTCCTAACTGTCAGGGTGGTCAAATATTGGAATAAATTGCCATGGGAGGTGGTGGAATCTCCCTCTCTGGAGATATTTAAGAACAGGTTAGACAGACATCTGTCAGGGATGATGTAGACGGAGCTTGGTCCTGCCTTGAGGGCGGGGGGCTGGACTCGATGACCTCTCGAGGTCCCTTCCAGTCCTATGATTCTATATTCTAAGAAATGCAGCACAGAATCTTACCCCTTTTGACAGTTTCAAGTGATGAAAACTCTTATCAGTCCGAGATGACTGGCCACGATCTGAACAGATATGGAAAGGGGAGATGGACTGGATGCCCACAGATGTCAGAGTTTTGATTCTAAGAAACTTTCCCCATTCCTAGACTGATTATACCCCAGACTTCTTTGGGAAATCTCACAGTGTGGCACTATCGCTAACAGTGTAGGAACATTTTAATCACTGTCACCTAATGTTGCCCGGAGCAGATTGGTGATACAAACATCTGTGCCCTTTCTACACTAATGTTCTTTTAAGTAGTCTCCCCGCAAGCACGAGTGGCAGCAACATTTTACAAAGAGTGACTTGCCCAAGGAGAAGGTCAGCAGCAGATAAACCAGGGGTCTCAACTTCCAGTCATGTATACTTTTAGACTGTTGTGTGAAGGCACACGTGCATTTAATATAATCAATCTCAAAAAAGCACAGCCTAGATTTACATGTATGTTTACCACTACACACACTTACCCATGAATCACTATTTTTGCAGATACAAATCTCAGAGAAAAATATTTAAGCACATATTTTGACATTATCTCTGCCAAAAGTTAGCAGTATTTACGATACCTTGCATAATGGAGCTCAGTGGATTTTAGAAAATGCTCATATCATTAATAACTTGACTGAAGACCAAGATAGGGAACAGCAACTTTCAAGAAATTAAGCAACGTGCTAAACAACATAGTGCCCTACCTTCTCTCTACCACCACTTTGCTTTTGTCAATAATAACTGGCTTTGGAGGTGGCTGAAATTTGGGAGGTTCTCCACTGTTAGCCCTCAGAAGCGCAGAAGAAGAAAAATATCCTTGAAAGGGAAAAAAATAAGATGGTGTTGAAAAGAAACGAATTTCAACCAGAAGTAAAAGCAAACCCCATAACTCTCAACCCTTCAAAATACAACATGGCTACGTCTAGACTGGCATGATTTTCCGGAAATGCTTTTAATGGAAAAGTTTTCGGAACAGAGCGTCTAGATTGCCACAGATGCTTTTCCACAAATGCATTTTTTGCGGAAAAGCATCCGTGCCAATCTAGACGCACTTTTCCGCAAAAAAGCCCTGATCGCCATTTTCGCAATTGGGGCTTTTTTGCAGAAAACAAATCTGAGCTGTCTACACTGGCCCTTTTGCTCAAAAGTTTTGCGCAAAAGGACTTTTGCCCGAACGGGAGCAGCATAGTATTTCCACAAGAACACTGACAATCTTACATGAGATCGTCAGTGCTTTTGTGGAAATTCAAGTGGCCAGTGTAGACAGCTGGCAAGTTTTTCCGGAAAAGCGGCTGATTTTCCGGAAAAACTGGCTAGTCTACACACAGCCTATATGTATGAATACTCACAGAGTGCTTCCTCTGTTCCTCCAGTACCATATTAAATAAATAGTAAAACATCATGACATTCTTTGTTAGAGGCTCATTTGACAGAAGGAAACTGTGAGACACTAATACAAGTTTTAGATGAGTCAAAAGTAGGAATGTTAAAGTTTGGGTTACTTGTAACTGCTGAAATTTTCAGTGGTTACACATATACAGAGGGGGTCGGAAGACAGCTCCACGGAAGCTAATGCTTGTGAGGAGCATGCTTTTAAGAGGCAGCAGCATGTTGTGGGGAAGAAGCCGATATATGCAAGAAGCCAGCTTTTAAGGCAGCTCTCCGTGTGTGCCAGCTCCTTGGACTCAGAGGAGCTAGCTTAAAAGCTGTCCCCCCACTTTGCAGTGCTGCCTGCCCCCCTCCCATACTGCTGCCTCTATCAGAGGCAACAGTGCAGGGTGGGGGGAGGGGAGGAATAGAGGTGTGCAGGGGAAGCTGCTGCAAAGCAGCCTCTGTCCACAGCAGGCCCAGACTCCCTACGGACAGAGGCTACCCCGCTGCAGCAATGCCTGTCCACAGAGCGTATAATATACGTATCAGCTCAGCACCTAGTAAATCCCTTACATTTCTACAGAGCGATTGCATCTAAAAACTGGTTGCAATGTACGCGAGCGATGCGTCTCTGATAGCAGCATGTTCATCGCACCAGTGAAGCAGCCTGGACTACATAACCGGCCCATGGCTGTACAGCCCACAGCAGAGCGAGGAATAAAAATAAGGGCTCCCCCCACGCCCAGGCCCGAGCCAGAACAAAACCTGCATTCAAAAATAAAACAACGTAAAACTTTAGAGCTTACCAGTCAATTCAGTCCTACTTCTTGTTTACCCAATCACTCAAACAAGTTTAGTTATAATTTGAAGGAGAAGTTGCCCACTTCTTGTTTACAATGTCACCTGAAAATGAGAACAGGTGTTCCCATGGGACTGTTGTAGCAAGATATTTGTGCACCATATACGAATGTATCTCTTTATGATTAACACATCATTCCAGAGGATGTGCATCTATGCAGATGGGTTCTGCTTGATAACAATCCAAAGCTGTGTGGGCTGATATCTGCACATTTTTATCATCTCTATCAGATGCCACCAGCAGAAGGTTGATTTTCGTCTTTGGTGGTTTGGGTTCTGTAGTTTCTGCATCAGGGTGTAGCTCTTTTAAGACTTCTGAAAGCACACTCTACAAGTTCCTCTTAGATTTTGGAAGACACTTTTGATTCTTAAACCTTGGTCAAGTGCTGTAACTATTTTTAGAAATCTCATTGATATCCTCTTTTTATTTTGTCAATCTGCAGCGAAAGTGTTCTAAAAACAAACAACGTGCTGGGTCATCTTCCGAGACTGCTATAACATGAAATATATGGCAGAATGAAGGTAAAACAGAGCAGGAGACATACAATTCTCCCCAAGTAGTTCAGTCACAAATTTAATTAGTGTATTATTTTTATAAAGAGCATCATCAGAATGGAAATATGTCCTCTGGAATGGTGTCCAAAGCATGAAGGGATAGATGAATGTTTAGCTTATCTTGTAATGCTGGCTACAAAAGTGCCATGCAAATACCTGTTCTCACTTTTTGGTGACATTGCAAATAAGAAGTAGACAAACTTGTTTGTGCAGCCAGCCTAGTCCTCCCCGCCTGGCTATTCCCTGTCACCGGGTGGGGCCGCTGCCCCCATGGACCGGCCTTCGCAGGCACCAGGCCTCAGGCCCCCCACCCCGAAACGCTCCTGTGGTATAGGGCTGGGAACCCCGAGGCCTCGTCTCTGCCTCAACTGTCCCCACCCCACACTTCAGCGAAGGTTGCTTAGTCCAAGCAGCCAGCCTAGTCCTCCCCGCCTGGCTATTCCCTGTCACCGGGTGGGGCCGCTGCCCCCATGGACCGGCCTTCGCAGGCACCAGGCCTCAGGCCCCCCACCCCGAAACGCTCCTGTGGTATAGGGCTGGGAACCCCGAGGCCTCGTCTCTGCCTCAACTGTCCCCACCCCACACTTCAGCGAAGGTTGCTTAGTCCAACTGGGGTGACTCTATTGTCCTCCTTAGGGATGTCAGCTCCCCGAGAGCTGACGGGAAAAGGGGATCCAGAAAATTATAGTCCTGCTCATTTGACCTCAGTCATATGCAAGGTTTAGGAATAATTTTACAAGAGAAAGTAGTTAAGGACATCGAGGTGAACCATTCTCAGAATAAAATACCACATGGTTTTACAAAGGGTAAATGACACAGATCAACCTAATCTCCTTCTTTGAGCAGATTTTTTAGACAAAGCAAGTATAGTAGATCTAATATACCCGGGTGTCAGTAAGGCTCTGATACAGTTCCACATGGGAAATGATTAATTAAATTGGAGAAGATGGGAATTAATATGACAACTGAAAGGTGGATAAGGGAATTGGTTCAAGGGGAGACTGCAATAGGTTATAATGAAAGGTGAACTGTCAGGCTGGAGGGAGATTACTAGTGGCGTTCCTTAGGGGTCAGTCTTGGGACCAATCTTATTTAATATTTTTATTACTGCTCTTGGCACAAAAAGTGAGAGTGTGCTAATAAAAGTTACAGGTGACACAAAGAAGTGAGGGATATATCCAATATGGAACAATGCTGGCATATGATACAAGGAACTCTGTCTAGATGATCTTATAAATTGGAATAATAGAAATGGGATGAAATTTAATAGTGCAAAGTGCAAGCACATGCATGTAGGGACTAACAACACACATTTCAGCTTATCGAATTTCAGCTTGTGGACTTATTGTTCGGAATCAACAAAGGAGGAGAAAGACCTAGATGTAGTGTTTGATCAAAGGATGACTAGCTGCCAATGTGATGTGGTTGTGAAAAATTGTAATGCCCAGTCTTAGGATTCATAAGGAGGTATTTCCAGTAGAGAGAGGGGAGGGAGAGTGCTAGTACAGGAAGCCCTCACCATTTGCAGTGGATGTGTTCCTGGCACCACCATGAATGGTAAAATTCATGAATGCTGGCCAGGAAACACCTATGAACAAATGGAACCGCGAATAGTAATTCCTCAAATTGCGAGGGTCTACATTGTAAAAGGCACTGATGAGACCTTACTTTAGATACCATGTGCAGTTCTGATATCCCATGTTTTAGAAATATGAATGCAAACTGGAACAGGTGCAGACAAGGGCTACTAGGATGATCCAAGGAATGGAAAACCTACCATATGAGAGGACAGTCAAATAGCTTGGCTTGTTTAGCCTAACCAAAAGATGGCTGAGAGGAGTATGATTGCTTTCTAAGGGTACGTCTAGACTGCAAGCCTCTTTCGAAAAAGCCTCTTTCGAAAAAGAGCATCTAGACTACAACTAGTACTTTTGAAAAAGCAAGCCGCTTTTTTGAAAGAGAGCACGCAGGCAATCTGGATGCTCTTTTTTGAAAAATCACAGTTTGCATTACATAGCGTCTTTTTTCAAAATAAGACATTATTCCTCATAAAACAAGGTTTTCCACAGTCGAAAAAACTGCTGCATTCTTTCAATTTACTTTTGAAGAATGCAGCAGCAGTCTAGATGCAGGGGAAGTGTGCAGGGCGCACTAGGATGCGGTAGTTTGAACCAAAGCCCTTGCAGTAACGTTAGTTCAAACCAAAGGAGTAACGTTAGTTCTAACCAAGGGCTTTGGTTTGAACTACCGCGTCCCGGCGCGCACTCCCTGGTTCGAATCAGCTGTGATTCGGACTAGCACGCAGGGCAAGATCTTGCTAATGAAGCGTGGGATATTTAAATCCCCGCTTCATTTGCAATTTCTGTTGCCTACATTTGCATCCCTTAGTCCGAACTAGGGAGCAAATGTAGACGTACCCTCAGTTACTACAGATAATTCTTTCTCGGGTATCTGATGGGAGGGTCTTGCCCACATGCTCAGGGCTTGACTGATTGCCATATTTGGGATTAGAAAGGAATTCTCCCCCTGGGCTAGATTTGCAGAGACCATGGAGTTTTTTGCCTTCTTCTGCAACATGGGGCACAGTTCACTAGTAGATTTCAAGTAGTGTAAATGGTGAATTCTTTGTAGCTTGAAGTCTTTAAACTAGTGGTCCCCAAACTTTTGAGCATCTTGTCTCCTTAGGTCTGAGAGGGGGAAATGCAGACAAGAGTAAGGGGACCACAGCTGGGGCTGGAGGCAGGAGCGGAGCCGCAACTGGGTTTCAAATTGGTGGAGGCTGACAGCTGGGCTGAGGCTGGCACTTGGGCTAGGACACAGGGTAGGGGAAGGTTGTAGCTGGAGGTGGGGCCAAAGCAACGGTTGAGCCTGCCTCATCCACCAATGCCCCCCTAGTTTGGGGACTTCTGCTTTAAACTAATCCAGAGGTTAAAGGTGTGGGTGGGTAAGGTTCTGTAGCCTGCTGTGTGCAGACGGTCAGATTAAATTATCATGATGGTCCTTTCTGACCTTAAAGTCTATGAGACTAGATATTTCCTGTGGACCTAGAACTGTCAATACCGGGGGTTAGGATTAGTTACACCTCAGAGCAATGTAATTGTACAGGCCTAATTTCCAAGAGTAAACCAGGCCTTAGTTAGGCTCTGGCTCAGTGGTTTTCAATTTGTGGTTCACAGGCCGTTGAGGGTGCAAACCAGGGTTCCCTGTGATGTGCATGCCCATGAATTTCAGTCCCGTCCACCCCCTCAGCAAATCCATACATCTGTGGCCATGTGGCAGGTAGCTGCCCCACCTCAGGAGCAGCTGGGCAGCCAACACATGGCCTGCATGATGGTGCTGGAACTGGAGTATTAAAAATAGCACTGCGGCCACAGCTCCAGTCTCAGCACAAGGGGCAGCTGCCCGCCATGCGGCCCAGCCCCTGGGAGCAGCTGGGTCCGTGGCTGCATAGCAGCTGCTGGGGCTGGGACCACCATACTAAAAATAGCACTTTGGCCCTAGCTCAAGTCCTGGTGCACAGGGTGTGCTGTCCCGAGCTCCCTGAGGAGTGGAGATGGGCTGCCTCCCCTTCAACTCTCAACCCCACGGGAAGCAG